TTCACTGTACTCACCCTTCCTCTTGTGATACTGTGAGATGATAAAATGCCTGAATGATACAGGAAGTGAGATGGATGACAGAGGCACTGGTAATTATTGACCTTCTGATGATACATCAGGAGGATCATCTGTTTCTGGACTATGACTGACAGTAGATAACTGAAACCTCAGAAAGTGAAACCATGGATGGTGGGTCTCTGGGGGGAGGCAGGTACTACTTATTTCTTAAAATTTACATTTGAAAATTTGCTTCATGCACCCAAGTTGTCACAAACACAATTAAATGTTTTCTAATAACTGAACTGAGTATCAGCATTTTTAATTCAAAGTTATATTAATTAAAATGAAAAGAAATTTCAAATTCAGTTCCTGGGTAGCACTACCACATTTCAATGTTCAAATGTTACATGTGCCTAGTGGCTTCTATACTGGAGTGCAGGCCCAGTGGTCACAAATCATATGGTAATTCTACATTCTTAAATTGCAATGATAGTAGGTCATTGGCATAGCTTTTTAAAGAACTAACTGTGAATAAATTTAAAAACATAGATTAAACTCCCTTATGATTACATAAGGTTATTAAAATCTAAGAAAAACTGAAACCTATATAGATATTTTGAAGCTCTAAGAGTTTGGAACAATTTAAGGCCAGACCACCACCAGTTTATAAGGCCACAGGCATGGCCATTTGTCCTAAACATTGAAACACCATATTCTACCTAAGAGGAAATTAAATTCAAATAGTAACAAGTATAAAAGGAAAAGGGAGATGGAGTTGATAGGATTTTTTTCAAAGATACTTTGAAAGAACAATAAACTATTAAAAGCACAAAATATTGCAAAGAATAACAATACTAGAAACAAAATTACACATTGAAATTGGAAACAAAAGTCTTTGATTTAGACATAAGAAAATGAGTAGATAAATATGACACTGAATAGAAAGCTGTTATTACATGGTAATGTAAAAACTGGGAGAATCTCTTGGCAAACTGGATCTTATGCATTTTAAGAATGAAGTGAGAGAATGAAAAGAAACACCTGTTTAAAAAATCACAAAATCACAGTGGATTCATTTCAATTTCAAATTATTTTCAGCTGAATAATTTGGTAAACTGGGCAACTTTAATGGAAATAAATCACTTAGCCTGAAGCACCAAAATCAGAATCAGAACAATGTGTGTGTGTGTAAGGGGGCGAGAGAGGGAGAAAGACAGAAAAGAGAGATAATGAGAATTGGACGTAACTCCTGTAACCCTGCAAGGTTACTACTATATGTGACAAAATGGAGTTAAAAGACTGAATGCCAAAATTTCTAAGTCACTGGCTTCTTAAATATATAATTTCTGTGTGACAGCAAAGCAAGTGGTAACTATCACTCTAAAATGTGGGAGCAAATGCTTCCCAAATAAGATTATGTGGTTATCTTAGAAATTAAAAGAACCTGCATTTTTTTACCCAGCAGTTTAGAAATAATTGTAACCTTCTAAAGCAAGGCTACATCTCCATCTTGAAAACATCATTTAAAGTTAAAAAAAATTATACATACACACACACACACACACACACACAGACAAACACACAAACACACAAACACGAACAAATGAAACGTGATGCAGAAGGACCATCACCAATGGAGGCGTTTTGACAACTTTCCAATTTGGCTCTCATCTCTCAAACCTTCCTGCACTCTAATGTCAGAAGCTAAGGCAAGTTTTGGTCCACTGGGTGTCATGACTTACCTCAGGCATCATCTGTACTGCCCTCCCCCAGCAACAAACTGGATGGCCCTCCTATGAGCTATCACAGAACTCTGTGCTTCTTCCCATTATGGTACTTATCATATTTTGGTATAATTTTTTGTTTGCTTATTTATCTCTCTCACTGGACTGTGCATACTGGAAAACACAAACTCTATCTTACTTATTTTTGAGTCCTCAGCACCTAAGATAATACCTACCATAAGAAGACAGAGAATTCATGAATGAATAAGTGAATGAATGCACTACCAGAAAATCAAATACAAGTTTTCACACCTGTGTTTTTATAATACAAAAAAGTGATAGAAATATGACAGAAAGTAGGAAGAACCATTTTTTTCCTTTAAACGGATATTTTAGAAAGGCCTATAATCTGATCATATTCACAAAGAAACTGAGATACCATAGACTGAAACTTAGACTCTTATCTACAATAGTATCAACAAAATAATGTCTTCAACAATAATGAATAAAACCAAACTCTGCATTCTGATTTTCTGATACAAATCTTACAACTTGGTCTTACTGTCTTGAACTAAAGACACCATTAAGAATTCAATAGTAACTTTTAAACTTATAATTAATATCTCTTTAAACATTTTGATAGAACATTGAATTTATTACCATGTACCATAGTTTTAAAAAAACATAGCTGTTTTAAAAAGACCCTGCAAAACATGATCAAGATAAATGTACTATAGTGAGAATTATGCTACAATATTAACAGTTTCCAACTGTTTTCCAAGAGTCTGGAGCAGTAATGTGAATTTCTTTCAATAAGACTATAGTTTAATTTTTTTCCAGGGAAATATATTTAATAGGATTACTGACCCTTTCAACACTCTTGGAAAGAAAATGAATCCCTTAAGCATTCTAGCATATAACTATTATAAAAATAAATAGAATAGTCAATCATGGAACATGGTAATGGACTTGAGAAACTAAAGAAATGCATGTAAGTATAAGTGGTGATAACTACTTGTACAGAGAAAAGATCCACTACACATCAGCAAAACAAACAAACACAGCAAGACAGGTGAAGGGCTGGAAAGAATGGGAAAACTTTGCAGAAATAACTTTCATATCTTCCTTAAAACAAAACTAACCACATTCACTTTGATCAATTCTGCTGGCTATCACTCAACTCTCAGGCCTGTGCCTAAGTCCTGTTTGGTTTTTCAGAAGGTATTTAAATGTTTCAGGGGGCAAAAAAAAAATATGCTTACTGATTTAAGGCACAGTTTTGCACTCACAATTCTTTGTGCTTTAAGAGGAATTTTTCAGGCCATTAGTTGATAATGTGAAGTAGTGCCTAGGGATATTTTGAAAGGAAAAAAAATAGTGTGCTTGGAGATGCAGTTTATGTGACTTGTGTCATCATTTATTTCAGCTCAATTTGGTGTCCAAAACTGAACTCAAAATGAAGTTACCACATCTGCAACACTTTCCCTCTCAGCATGTGATGAGCATATAGAAATCTGAAAACAGAGCAGAGCCTTACCCCAAAAACCAAACATCATAACCTCTTTGATTCAAGCCCTTGCAGGAAGGAAGTTCTTTCTCTTTCAGAGTATAAAAATTAAGTCAGCTTTACAAATCACTTCCAAAATAATTTGATTATCAAAATGCCATTGGCATGCCAAAATGCACTTATTCTGCTGGTTTTACCTTTATTTCCACATCCCCAACCCAGCCATTCATACTGCCATGTTTGGGTCCAGAAAACATGGAACTAAATTATTAGGTTTAGAGAAAGTTAAGATCTTCTTCCAAGTTCATAGACCAAAAGATGATTTGGCTATTATCAAGATTAACTTGATACACATGTCATGTCAAATAGATCATTACCAGCCCCAAAGTTAGCTAGACTTTCCTTAATTCTACATTTTCCTTCAGTGTAAATAAACCCACAGTCCACAGTTTTTAAGAGTAAACAGATACTGATATTCCAACTATCTTGCACAGTAAAAGAAACAAGTTAGAATCAGTTTTCTTTTCTTCATTATAACTACTCTTCATCTATGTTTGTTAATGACACATGCATCACAACTGAAAATCATGAAGTCAAGTATCTTGAGCATGTCATGACCTCAGAGATTATGAAACTCCCTGTTCTCAATCTTAGGATCTCCAGAGGCATTTTTACAAAATACTGATGTCTAGGCCCCATCTAAATTTTAGAGCGGGGCCTGGTATCAATATGCTCTAAAAGCTCCTCATGTGAGTACAATTTGCAACTAGGTCGAGAATGAACAGTCTCACAACTGTGGATCAATTGACCCAGAAAGGACCAAGGTGGAGAGCAAGCCAATGGCGATCTGAAGCTCAACCTAGAACAAAGCTTAAAGGCTGCACTGTCTCCAGGAGCCACTTAAGTGCATGAGCAGGCAAGGTGTACACACATCTTTGGAATGTGTGAGTGTCGGAGAGTGTGACAAGGCAGGGAGCTCACAGGGCAGGGGCTCCTGAGGTCTAGCTGATAATGGCATCAGGGAAATAAGGGATATCAGATCTCCTCACTTCATCAGAAAAAAATACAAATGAAGATTTTTATGTAAAATTTCCCAACTTTTAAATGTTGGCTTAATTTTAAAAAACACAACAACACTATATGAGGCAAGCAAAACACATAATGAAACACACAACATAGGTTTGGCCTTTAGACTCAAACAGAGCTGTTTCCATTCTACAGAAACCACAGCACCATCATCATCATCACAACAAAAGAAGAATACCTAACATTCATTCAGTATTTAGGTGTTAGCCTCCACACATGGATTATCTCGATTAACGTTCAACAACCTTCAAGGTACTGTTATTCCCCCTTTACTCAGTAACCCTCCAAGGTCACATAGCCAGAAAGTGGGGATGCCAGGATCCAAATGTGAGCGTGGTAACAGCCTACACTATGCAGTATTTCTTAAAAGTTTTAAACACGCATTTAAGAACCTCCATTCCTTGCACTTGTGCTTCTTCAGAAATAAAATAAAAGGACTATCTGAATTGTTTTCTCAGGGACTTTTTAGTAACAATTCTGACTCCATAATACAACTTCTGGTTGTATAAACATTTTGGTATTTACATGCAACAGTCCTGAATGCGTGTTAAGAATTACCTGATTAGAGGAATGGAATGAATGAATGCTCATTAAATAGTCTTTCTGAAAAGACAGTAAAGACATAAAATTATAATAAAATTCTTGATTTTTACTGCTATAGAAAATTTACCTCTCCATTTTACCTTTTGAAAGATGAGTAAAAGTGCTCAGAAATTCTTCATATGTTTGCTCATGACAATTAACAAATTTATCCAAGACCTCCTCAACTAATCGATCTTCATCCATGATCTCCAATTCTGATGCCTGAGCAGTCATTCCTATTCACGAGGCCACGTTACCTATGAGACAAAGGAAAACAGAACTCGGGAGAGTCATGCAGCCACTCTGGAAATACTCTGTATGAGTGGGTGGAAGAGTTCCACTCAGATCAACAAAGTTACTAGAGCAGTAAACTCTAATTCAAGAGACAACAGTTTATTCATATCATGGCTGCTGAACTATCAATTTTATTTTTAATTCAGTTTCCTCATTTCCTTCTTAATTTGCAAGAATATCATTACACACTTAAATTTACACAATTAGAAATTCAAAGTCTTTTTCAAGGTGAGATAAATTTCTAAGACTATGTCAATCAACCACCCATCCAGTGAGGACAACAATAATAATAATATTTATTAGCTACTTATTTAACACTTACTATTTACCAGGGGCTAAAGTTCTAAGCACTTTAATGTTAACTTCATAACAACCCTAGCTCAGGTCACAGAGCCAGGAGGTACGAGTACTAGTTCTAGGAGTCTGATCCTAGACGCCATGCCGTTAAGCCCTCCACTGCACTTCACTCTACCCACTGCACGACACCCCTTTCCCCACCCTATGCTACTGTACTATTACTGCCAAAAACTGACTTGTCTGTACTTTTGGTAACACACCCAGGGACTTGGAACTCTGAACATTCCAGGAAGTTTCTGGACAGCTCTATTAGAGACACCTTCTAAATCTGTCTCCCTGTACACAACCCCAACTTGTCTCTGAGCCCCCGGGGTCACAGTGGATAACTTTATTCCTTCTTGTACATCACATTCTTCCAAATTTTTGAATAAGCCTATAAAGTCCTTTTTCAAACTTTTCACTCCATTCACTTAAAAAAATTTATTTTTCAAAACCCAGCTCAGAATTCAGTTTCCCTCTGAAGGCTTTTAGCCTTCCAGCTGCCATCATTGCAGGAAGAGCTAATCATAATTTCTCAGTGCTGCCTCTGTACTGTATCTACTGTTACACTGATCACATTGTATTAAAAATAGCTGTGTACATTTCTGTGTCCTCTATTAGACTCGGAGACCATGAAAGGCAGGGTCCACGTCTTTTCATCTTTGGATCCCAAATGTTTAACAGTTCAGGATGCGGCATAGGGCTGGCAGTCAATCAATAGAATGCTAAAATTACTCTTTTGAGCAGGTATCATAGTCCAATATCGCTAAAAGCTGGCAAAACACTCAAATAAACTTGCCTAGTTACTTCACCTGTGTCTTACATGGCCTTCTACGCTCCTGATCAGTCTGCCTGGAAAAGGTTTCACACTGCCTGTATCCCTTTAAAACACACCATCCAGAAATGAAGACAGGATTACAGTATGGTCTGTGAAATTTGACTAACCTTCACATCTAAACATTGCACTGCTACTATATAACTGAAGATCACATTCACGTTGTTAGTGGCCTCTTCACATTGCCAGTTCCTTTAACATATTGCTAACTAAATACCTGTCAGCTATGACCCAAGGCCTCAATCCTTGCAGTTTGAACTTTGTTTTTATTTGTGATAATTCATCTTGTTATATTCCATTCACTCTGTATGAAATATTCTTACATAGCTTTGAGAAAATTTACTATCTACAAAAAGCAAAAGAATAATTACAGCCTAAGTAGCCAGTGTAATTCATGGGGGATAATAAAAAGGGTTCTCAGTATTCTATAGCAGGAAGAGAAAGCACTGAGCTTCTATTTTCCTAAAACAAGATAAAAAATCTGTTATCTGTTATTAATTTTATTTGGTATTTCCCCAAAACCTCAGAAAAAAAATAAACATATTTTCACAAGACAATGCCCAGCCTCATTTGGTAGCAAGACCTGACCTGAAGTAACATGAAAGTATTTATGGCTGTTATTTATTCTACCCAGTGTGACTATTCATGTTTCCCTGCAGAAATAGTAATGAGCTTACTTTGAGGTGTTTTCCCAGACCCCACTGGAGATTTTGTGTAATATGTGGCACTTGCCCTGATTGCCTTCCTAAACTCCAAAAAATTCTGAATTCTGAAACACATCTGACCCCAAAGATTTTAAATAAGAAACTGTAAAGCTACCCATACTTCACAGGATTGCTATGAGGATTAAATGACTATACACAGCACCCTAAGAACTGCTGTCCATGAGGATCATGATGATGACAATGAATCAGCCTTAGTATTCTGCCCTCTGCCTGCACAATGACCTGCTTTGACTGTGACCCCTCTGACTTTGAAGACACTGATGTTAGCTAAAGATAAGTCAAGATAATTTCTTGAGCATTACAACCCTAGATAAAACACGGTGTTTAAAAGATCCAGTGAAAATAGAGAGCATAGGCTAACTCAAATTGAAAGAAACTGTTCCAGGATATTTGCACCTGAAAATTAGATATAGGAGAAAGCATCAGTTATGGTTTATGCAAATTTATCTATAACACTGCCAGGTTTCAGCAATTCAAAGTTTAATAAGTCATTCTTGCAGTTACTAGATAAAAAATAATAATGAGTAAATTGAAAGGTGGCTAGTATTTCACTGTCCATAGGACATGTACTTAACTGTAAGTCCATGTTGATCTGCTTTTCCAGAATTGGCCCCCATCAAAATTCCAACACTGTACTGTATCAATTTCCTCCTCAAACCATCTCAGCAAAAGCAAATACCAAACAGAAACAGACAGACTATGTTTTATATCGCTGTAAATGTCTCTTCGTGGGTGCTTTAAGAGTGATAACAGAAATTCCTTTAAACTTCCTTTCCAATTCTCAAATTGGTATATTTTGAGTACTTAACCTTAAAACATCTCAGCTGCACTAAGAGCAAATAACAGGATGAGCACACCACAAATTCAAAATCCTTCAAGGCCTTTAATTTTATTCATGTAGCTATCACAATACAGAAGAGGTTGTGTTTTCATTTACTTTTTAAAAGACTTTTGGGAAATCCAGTTTCACAAACTTATTATTTGAAGAGTTTAACAAATATCCACCTCCAAATTTTTAACTTTCTTTACCTATAAAAAATACAAATAACCTAATGTTAAACGTCCCCAGGGACTGACAGAGCAGATAATCATTTACCAGACAGTTAAGTGGTTTATGCAAATCCTAGTGGTTTTCTAGAAGGAAGCAATGCTTTTTCACTTACCACTCACATATGTTTGTGTTTTTACCATGAACTATTTTTCTAAAAGAAAAAGAGAGAGAGCGACACTAGCCTAGGTAAAGGATTCTTTGTTTTGGTTTTTTACGTTTTAAGGCTCAGAGCTCCACATGCAAGATCTGGAACACATGTGGTGAAAAGTAAAAATGTATATAAATATCTACTGGTAAATCATATGTAACACTTTCACAATCACAGCCTCCAGTGGGAAATCCAGGGAGGATGTAGTGCTCCTCTTGGACTCCTAAACTTCTCACAAAGACCACAGGCTTGGTTAGGAACAGGGTTTTCTTCTTATCAAGTCACTGAGAGAGAGCAAGAAAATCCTGAACCTTCCTGGAGTTCTGTTGTCTCCTATCAAATAATGAAATTAACAACCATGCAAGCCTGTTAGTGTCGTGTGCTCTCTGAAGGGACATTACTGTGAAATACGGTATGTGGAATTACCACCATTGATTAAACACATCTTTTATGTTTATCTTTAGATCCTTCATCAATGCAACATACCTAAACAAAATAAAACTTTCCAAGACAAGAGTGTTAAGCCTTAAGAAGCAAGTTGCCATGAGCTAGTCTTCCCCCAAAGTGCATAACCTGCTTTTTAACAGTACAGAGAGTTATATGTCCACAAAAAGATTTTTTTTAACTATGAGGCTTCAAACTGATATTTAAAAATACTAAATAGTAACATACTTTTAAGGAGCTATGAAGGGGCTATCAAAGACTACTTTCTCAAATTTTCATAGTTCTCTTCAATTCAACAAGAACCTCCTGCTATGCTGAAAGGTATGATGGGATACTATCAAAATAATTCACCTTGCCTAAGGGAATGAAACCAATGAAACCATCAACCTTGGTACTTCACAGGATGGGTCTCCTTTCTTATTTTGGAAAATGGACAAATCTCAAAAAGACCAAATCACATTCTAACTGTACAGATTTACTTATCTGATAAAAGAGACCCAAGATGAATGGATTTCTTCTTCCTTGACTGAATTACCTCTATTTTGCTTCCTCCAATACTTTTTATGTCTTTTGGTTGTATGAAGAAGAGAGAAAAAAATCCAGTGGCAGAAATTGCCAAAGATTTTCAGAGTTGAGAGAAACCTGAAGGTCATCTAGTCCAATCAGAGATAATAAATTAATAAATCTGGGGAAGAAATCTTAGGTGTGGCTTTTGTCAAAATGACTACTGATGAGCAGTACTGTGTGACTCTCATGTTCATAAACAATAATGACATGCTCATGATTATGAATTTCAAGCCACATATAAAGTCAGCAGGAAATTAAGCAAAAAGCTTCGATCTCTCCCTGGATGGTTATATCTATGTCTCCAACTACATTCTGTATCCCACTAACATAGAAAACATCTGTAGACAAAACAGAAATATAGATATAGATATATAGATATAGATATATAGAGATACAGATATAGATATAGAGATATAGATATAGATATAAGTATAGATATAGATAGATATAGATAGATAGATAGATAGATAGATAGATAGATAGATAGATAGATAGATAGATAGATAGAGATGCCATTGTTTCAGACACTTACTGATACAAACAATAAAACAAAGGAAAAGATAAAAGGAATAAAGAGGAAAGCATAAACACAAAATAAATCTTACTAAATAGGAAAGGACCTAAAGTTCCTTACTGTTTTTCATCAGGATGAAATAAAAACATACAACTCTAGCATCAAAGAATATACTGTACCTCAAGTTATAAGCTTCCCCCAACAAGCTTTTGGGATGGAATTCCCAAGGCATGGAATTCTTTATTATCACCAAAAAAGTTGATGGAATAAGCATCCAGACTTCTATGTAAGTTCCCCTAGGTATTTACCTCTGCAGTGAATATTAAAGGAAGCATTTAGAGGA